CAAGAGAGACATTTTTAGACAGAAAGGTTTTCCGTTACCATTCAAAAAAAAAGTGGTGGCTTTTGAATCAAGGCTCCTTTCAAGGTCACCGGTGTCGCCCACAGGAAAGGTGTTGCAATTACCGTTGGGTAATTTAGAGTGAGTGTGGATTTCTCAGGCAGGCGGATCCAGATTGGAATCTCAGTCCTGCCATTTACTAATTTAGGATCTTGTACAGTTATCTTAACCGTTTTAAGTCTCGGTTTTCTCATCTGTAAAACAGGGATGACACCCACTTCCTACGGCTGCTGTGGGGGTTAATGCCAGGCATGTTGTCTACAATCAATGCTAGTTCCCTCTGCCTCTTCCCTCGATAGAGCTGCTCAGATGGCAGAGCAATTTACGTTTTGCAGAAGGTTAGACAGTAACACCACTAGTAGTTTTAGTTACGAGATTGTACAAGTTATTTCCTAGGTAATTTTTCATAGGGAGTATTTCCCAGAAGTAGTGCCATATCAGGTCCCACAGCTGCTTCATTCAGAATTCCTGTAGGCATCAAGGACCCTCTTCTGGATGTGAGATATCCACATAGCTTCATGTTTCTCTCTACTCTTTTCACTGGCTTCGAAGCCACTATCTTTAGTTAGCGACCACTGCTACTTGGTGTGGTGCAGAAGAATAGAATCTGTGTAGAGGAATGGAATCTGTGTAAGGCTGCCCCTGCGACATAGTCCATGGAAGGACAGGTCATGTATTCGAATCAGACAACATCATAGACACAGGGAGTCAGTTGCCCAAAATCTTTGAGAAACCATTAAAATTCAGTTATCTATCAGACTGGTCTCGTATGTGTGAAGATGGCTCACTAGCTAGTTCTATTATCAGCCTATTGTCTCTCCTTTTGTCTTCAGGGAAGGTTCCAAAGCAATAACAGCTCCCCAGCACATTGAGTTCCATGGAGACAGAATTCTACAAACACAGAGAACTGATGAATTTAAGATTGCTGGCAGAAGTTAAGTGAATCCACCTGTCTTTTAATTTTGCCCATAAAAATGCACTGAGGTGCCCTGGCCGGTTTGGCTCAGCGGTTAGAGTGTCAGCCTGCGGTCCAGAGAGACCCGGGTTTGGTTCCCGCTAAGGGCGCGTACCTCAGTTGCAGTTTGTCCCTGGCCCTGGTTGGTCGTGCGGGTGGCAGCCACTCAATGTGTCCTTTTCACATTGATGTTTCTCTCTTCCTCTCTCTCCTTCCCACTCTATCTGAACAAAAAATGGGAAAAAACTGTCCTCGGGTGAGGATAAAAAAAAAAAAATGTGCTGAGGTAGTTGATTTTTCTCATCCCCAATATAAATTCTCATCAGAAGTCAAGGCATTGGTATTTTAATGTTCCATATGTTCTAAGGATTATAGTGATGTAGCTTATTGCCATGACCTTTTCAATATTCTATAATTTGCTTGTCTGAGCCTGGAACTCTCTTTGTTTACAGCATCACTGAGGTCCTCAGAAGGCACACAGAATAAATAAACACACTGAACTTTTCAAGGGAAACTTGCAAAGGGGTGGGTGGAAGATCCCTATACCAGCATGTCAAACTAGCAAGGAAACGGGATGCTGTCCTTTCCCCTATAGTAAGTGTTTGGACGTGAAATTCAGGAGATAATAACTTAGTTCTGAGGAGCAGGAAGAAGGGATGACATTAGAAAGATCCTAGAACAGAATTCTACACGCACGGTATGGCGTACAGGTAAAGCCTTTCTCCCACCTTTCAGCATTTTATCCAACTGTAAGAATTCCCTGAGGGCTGAGACTTTTGACTTTGAACCAGTTACAAGTACCTCTAACAATATTAATAACAGCATTTTGAAATCTTCAATGTTCTGGGCAAAATGCTCAAAATTCGTTATTCTCATAACTCTTTGAGGTGGGTACTTTAGTCATTTCCATTTTACAGATGAGGTATTAAGTTAGATAACTTCCCATAATTAAGTTCTAGTGCTAGGATTCAAACCCTGGTCATCTGACTTCATTCCCTCTGGGGTACATAAACATTAACCACTCAGATTTTCTGCTGCAAGGAGCATAGCTGACTGACAGCATCAGATGCTGGCCCTCTGGATCCGCCAAGGCATTTGCACCATGGCTGCTCCCAGCCAATGACTGAGGGTTACTAGTACTGGCCCTTCCTTTGGGACACAAGACTCTTCCAACATGTGATTTTAAGTGAGGAACTGCCCATCAGCCTGCCCAGAAATTCTTAGAACTGTGCTGTAATTGGGGTTCTTCCTATCTAAGCCTCCTTCCTTCCTTTCTTCTCCCTGTTCACAGGGGTCAGACCTGCTTCATGATCTAAAGATTCTCTCTTCCTACTCTTGCTTTCTCCCATTTATCCTTCACAAACACTTCCCCCAATAAATCTTTTGCACATCTAATCATGTCTGGGTGTCTGCTCCTTGGAGAACCCAAACAACACACTACCCCTGCCTTATTCTAGAGAGTGGCATAAACCTCTCTATCCTTGTCTGCTTACTTGAAGGGTCAAGCAAGAACCGCCAGTGACATTTTAGTCTGATGGACCGTCCATCTTTGAAAGGCCTTCAATGAGTTCAAACTATTACTTTCCTCATACCCACTCGATTTTCTGCTTCTTTAAATTATATATATATATATATATATATATATATATATATATATATTCTACAACTGTCTCCAAATTTCTTAGATCAGAGGGACCACAGAAATATTTGACTAAATGTTGGAGACAGTATGAGTGCAGAGATAGGAAAGCCCACCAAGTATGAGAAGAGCAGCCCTGAAAGGTGTTCTCAATGAGTTTACCTAAACATGGTGCAGCGAGTACCAAAGCTTTATTTCTCAAACACCAACCAAGTACTCTGAAATAATGAGACCAAACAATAACTCAGCAAACACTAGGACATGCTGCCTAATTCTCTCTTACTGGTAAGTCCCAATGCACAATGGTGCATTAAAGGCCCCTAGAGCACATGTAGCAAAAACAAACAAACAAAAAACTGCTTTAAATCCCCACATTTATTTGATTAGCTATCTATCTGCTTTTTTTTTTTATCCTCATCGGAGGACATTTTTCCATTTTTTACTCAGAGTGGGAAGGAGAGAGAGAAAGAGAGAGAAACATTAATGTGAAGGGACACATTGAGTGGTTGCCACCCACACGACCCAACCAGGGCGGGGGACAAACTGCAGCCAAGGTACGTGCCCTTAGCGGGAACCGAACCCGGGTCTCTGTGGACCGCAGGCCAACGCTCTAACCGCTGAGCCAAACCGGCCAGGGCATCTATCTGCTTTTTAACACTCCACAGAACTAGGGATCTGGAGTCTGTGAACATAGCCATGTTGGTATGCTTTCCTGCTTCCTCTTCCCAAATATAGAGCCTTAGTCTTCATTCTCAAGGTGTTGTTTACCTACTGTATAAAAGTGTTAGCTGAAAGCTTTTCTTGCTAATAGAAATCATCCATCCATCCATCCATCCATCCATCCATCCATCCATCCATCCATCCAAAAAGCATTCAATGAGAACTTAATTCAAAGTTCTGGGCTACACTTCGTGGGAAGTAAACATGACCCTGGCTTCAGCCTTTTCAGGGACCTTAGACCCACAGAAAGAAAGCTGGGGCGTACAAATAGATCACTCCACAGGAGCCCTGAAATCATTACATCCCCGAAAATAGAGAACACCCTGAAGGGATCGCCGCCAGCGTCTGGGAAAGGAAAAGCAGCGGGGGTGGGGGGACAAGAGCCAGATGCGTGCAGTGCTGTTTGTCAACAAGATAACCAAGACTTCAGCAACGTGCGATCCAGGGGCCGGGTTCCTCCCGTCTCCAAATTGCAAAGCCCAGGAGGACGCTCCTGCAGCTGCCGCCTCCCGCGGACTTCGCCTTCCTCCAGCACTCTATTCTCTCAGGACAGGTTTTCTTTGCTATATTTAACTACCTGTGCGCCAAGATTTGAGTGTCAACATCAGTCCTTCAAATAGGGACCAGTTTCTGTACCCGGAATTTCCACTAAAGGCTTTGGGTTAAGGTTACCAAAATCAGCGTTTATGAATCCTCGCTCAACTTGTCCCAACTCAGTGTCCGTAGAAGCGGTTTTTCCTAGGGAGGGCCTTCGGCTTCGACCAAGTTTCGAACAACGGAGAATGAGGTGTCTATCATATTTCCCCGAATATATTGTCTCAGGCGCAGGCCAAATGTATTAAAGTATTCTTTATATGTTTTCTCTAAAAATATGGCTGTGAAGGAGCAAGTGGAACTTATATTTCTTTTCATGCTCTTTCATTTTTTCCCCCACCACACGTTTCGTGATCTCGTCTCCGCCCGCACCTCTCTAGACAGGCAGCATCTGGCCACCCTCCGAGGTCCTAATTTTGAAAAAAGGAGCGGGCCAATCAGAGTGCGGAGCGCTGTTTGGCGCTGCCATTTGAGTCTGTTACAAGTGAGTGCGGGACAGCTACGGTGGTTCCAGGTGTCCGCAGAGGAGGTGGGGGCGGAGGCATGAGGAGAGATTTTGGGCTTCAGTGAGCTCACCAGGATGTGCAAGCTGAGGGCCACAGGCAGGCTGTTGGGGGAAGGAAGGAGCAGGCTGTGAGACGGGGTGACGGTGGTGACCAGCCCGGGCGGGGACCGGGACTGGAAGAGGCGCCTGAGTAGCCGGCTGGCCGGGCGGCCGGGCGGGGTGGGGCGGGGCGGGGCGGGGCGGGGACCGGGACGCGCACTCAACTGACCCTGCCTGGGCAGGAGGGGCGAGAAGCGTCGTCTTTACAGTTCGGAGAGAGACGAGGGCAGTCGGGTTTAGAGGAAAGGGGGTCTTGGGAAGTGGCCGGAGGTGGTGAGAAGCTGGTAATGGGCGTTGGTGCCAGGAACGAAAGGATCGGGAGAAAGAAGGGAGGGCTGTGTAAGTAGCTGAAAGGGTCGTGCGACAAGAAAGAAGGTCAGAGTAAGTGAAGGAAAGGTGAGGGGTGGCTAGATCAAAGGGTTAAGAGAGGACGGTTGGTGGAAGTGGATAGCGGAACAAGGAAAGAGCCGTGGAAGTGGCTGGGGTCCGGAGCCGGAAGTCTGCCAGACGTGGCCGGAAGGCAGCGGGACAGAACGCAAACCTGTTGGGAAATTGGAAGACTTGGTGGCGGGTGAATTTCAGGACTCGGATGCGGCCTCGGCGAGTAGGGGACGTACCCGAGATGTGGGATCAGAGGCTGGTGAGGTTGGCCTTGTTGCAGCAGCTTCGGGCTGTCTACGGCATTAAGGTTAAAGGTGGCCGTGGGCAGTGCGATCGCAGGAGACACGAAGCAGCAGCCACGGAAATAGTGGTAAGTTCCGGGGACGATTTAGGTTGAGGGGGAAGAAAGCACACCCTGTACTATCACTGCCCGGTCATGCTAAAGTGTTTTTGCTGTGTGGATCCAAAGACAATGTGGTTAAGTTTGTCTCATTAAATCCAAAAGGCCAATTGCAGAAATTTAAAGAGTGACATTTTTAATTCTTTGCAGAGATTTTTGGTCATTGAGAGAAAATAGCAGCACTTTTCATTTCTCAGCAGCTTGATATTTTGAGCTAGATAATGGGTGTGTGTGTGTGTGTGTGGCATATGGCTGTTCTGTGCATTGTAGGATGTTTAGCAACATCTCTGACTTCTACCCACAAGATGCCAGTAGCATCTCCCAGTTGTGACAATTAAAAATATTTCAAGACATTGCTAGTTTATTGTATTTTGAACAAATAGCACATGGGAAAGGAGACAAACACTACACCATTGTTGTAGAGTAAGATTTGAAGGACAAGAGAGACCAGTACATTTTCTAAATGAATCAGTACATGAGGAGATGTGACAGAACATTAGAATAGGCTTCAGATGGTACCTCTATATTCACCAATTTGGGGTTGGGGGCAAGCTTGCAGCTTGATTATATCATATTTTGAGACAAAGCTATGTTTTTTAAAATGAGTAAGATGAGAAGCCAGAGTAGCATGAGTTAAAAGCTGTTGATGATTTTTGGGTGGTCAAGGTAAGGGAATTTTAAATGAGATTTTATATCTCTACTGCATCATCAAGAATTTCATTGTGAAAAATAAAGTAAATGGAACATAAAATATTTTATTTTAAATTTATTTGCCTAATTATGGTGTTTTTCCAAGAGCTGAAAACTGATAAAACTAAATTTTGTACCTCCTAATAGTTTATAATTTCTGAAAGATAAGAAGTACTTGAAGAAAACTAACAAAAATACTTGTGCCCTGACTGGGAGTTGGTTGGAGCATCGTCCTGTACACCAAAAGGTTTTGGGTTTGAGTTTGGTCAGGGCACATACCTAGCTTGTGTGTTTAATCCCAGGTTAGGGTGCATACAGGAGGCATACAGTTCCTCTCTCACATCAGTGTTTCTCTCTCCCTCTTTCTCTCTCTAAAATCAGTAAAACATGTCCTCCAGTGAGGATTTAAAAAAAAAAATGATGAGCCCTGGCCAGTTTGGCTCAGCGGTTAGAGCGTCGGCCTGCGGTCCGGAGAGACCCGGGTTCTGTTCCCGCTAAGGGCACGTACCTCAGTTGCAGTTTGTCCCCGGCCCTGGTTGGTCGTGCGGGTGGCGGCCACTCGATGTGTCCCTTCACGTCGATGTTTCTCTCTCTCTCTCCCTTCCTCTCTCTCCCTCCCTCTCTATCTGTACAAAAAATGGAAAAATATCCTCGGGTGAGGATTAAAAAAAAAAAAAAATGATGATTTGTATACCTCTTATAAATTCTGCAGAAATTGTTTTTGTTGTTTGCAGCTTAATGGCAACATATCTGTTCATATTTTAAAGCTATAGTGGTTCCTTCTGGTTGTATAACTAGCTTTCCAAGATCCCAAATATAGTTGGTTTTGTAAGAATGTGAAAGAATCTGTACACAGGTTTTTTCTTTACCTCTTAAGAAAAACTGACATTGTCTTTAGATTCAGATAGATCGGAGTTTGAATCCTGCTCTATCACTATGAGGTGTGTAACCTTGAACTGCTTGTTCAATTTTCCTCATCTTTAGTTTTCCTACTCTGTAAAGTGGGAATGATGGTATCTCTCCTTGGGTTGTCTATAAACATGTTAAGATATGTCAGTAGGACTAGCCCAATGCCTGTCACTTGCCATTTGAACTAATAGTTGTTACTATATAAATGGTCTGCATCCTGATTTTCATGCTACAAACACCAATAAAATATTCTAATAAAGAAATACAAGATTGTAGTGTTATATGAATGGGATCTAACAAGACAGGTGATTATTTGAAACTAGATTTCTTTAGTTCTTTGGTGTCAAGAAAATTCTGATTTATCCAAACAAGGGGGTGCGTATGTTAATTTTATTTTAAGTAGCTCTCCTTGAAGTGTTGATCATAACAGCAGCAAATTTTCTTCTTTGTCAGGCACTGATATAAATGTTTTACATCATTTAATTATTTATACAACTATGACTTGGAACCTATGTGAGAATACTGAGTCATAAAGAATGTTAATTTGGTCAAGGTCACCTGATAAGTGGAAGAGCCAGGATTCAAAATCTGGCAGTTCTGCCTCTAGGAACTTGCTCTCTTAAAGCGCTGCACTGCATTGTCTTTTCTATATTTCTCAATTAAATGGAGCTGCATGCTTGAAAAAGGACTAGGGAGATTTTGTTAGTCTTTTGAATCATGAACAATACTGGATGGTTTCTTATTGTAAATATAAGGTTAAATAAGATGCTCTTAAAGCATAAGTGTTTCGCCCTGGCCGGTTTGGCTCAGCGGTTAGAGTGTTGACCTGCAGGCCAGAGAGGCCCCGGTTCATTTCCCGCTAAGGGCACAAACCACGGTTACCGTTTGTCCACAGTTGTAGTTTGTCCCCAGCCCTGGTTGGGTCGTGTGGGAGGCAGCCACTCATTGTGTCCCTTTTATGTCAGTGTTTCTTTCTTTCTCTCTCTCTCTCTTCCTCCCACTCTGAACCAAACATGGAAAATTGTCCTCGGGTGAGGATAAAAAAAAAATAAGTGCTTCAAGAACATTTTTGGAGAGCAGATTCATTTCAGCTAAATTAACATTTGTGAAATCATATATACCCACTTATTTAATGTTGTGTAGGTAGACATATACAGGCTTTAATATGTATTTTTAAGTCCAGTGAAAAATTACAACTTTTTTAATCAGTGACACATTTTTAAGAAGTTTGAATGCACAAATAGTGGCAAGGTGTGTACAAACATACAAGTTTACTCTTGGCATTTTCAACGTATTAAATTTTGAATGTGAGTAATACATTTGAATGTGACTGTTTACAATGGTTTTCAAAGTAGTTTAATGAAATTTGAATTAAATGTTTGCAGAATCCCTATCTTGGGTACCTTAGAGTTTGAATAGCACTTTTCCATGGAGTGTGTAAAAGATAATCAGGTCTAAAAGTAACCACTTCTGGTGTAATTTTAGGAAGTATCCAGTAAATGACAGGAATTACCACTATCAATTGACAGCCTTTTGTTCAAATTAGCATTTATAAGATGAAGGAAGGAAGGTATAAGGCCAGTATTTATAAGGTTACTGGAGGAACAGGTAGTATTTTGAGGGAAATGTTAGTGTTTTGGGACAAATTCTATTTAAGAATTTCCTGACTAAATACTAACTGTATTGATTTTTCCATTTATGGAATTGGAAACCGATGGAATTTACCACATTGCTCGAAGACACTGACTTTATCTTTGCCATTGTTGTACTCAGCACCTAACATAAATTACTTTTTACTAAATAATCTTGAAATAATCGCTGTCATTGTCTTGACCAATAGTTTATTTCTGCTTTTTTTTTTTTTTTCTGGGCTATTAATTTGTGTGATGTTTAAGAAAACGTATGTTGTGCTTAGTATTTGTGTTAGAGTAACTGAATTTGTTGTTTTAGGGTAAAATATTTGGAGTACCTTTTAATGCATTGCCTCATTCTGTTGTACCAGAATATGGACACATTCCAAGGTAAGCAAAGTTTGAAATGAATGAATATTTTAAACTGGTGTTTGAATGTTTAAAAATAAATAGTTGATTGATTCACACATTTGTTTTGAACTAGCAAATGATTTTATTTCTCAATAGTCATGTAAAAAAAACTTTTACATTTGTACTCACTCCCAGGATTGAATTTTAAGGTTTAGTAATGAATAAATTACTTTTGTTTTTTTAAATTAGAGATTTCAGATCTATACCAATTCTTTTGCCTCAATTCTGATTATATTCAGTAATATACTGAATTACCAATAGAGCTAAAGTATTGGTATTTTTGTTTGTTTTAGAAAAGTTGGATAAAAATATTATGCTAATATATTAGAGTATTTGTGAATATAAATCATATAACACTTGAGCTTTTCTACGTTGCTTACTATTTACAAATAATCTTTTGGACTAACTGCATTAGAAATTACTAGGCAAGTTTACATCTTAAGAAAATAGTTTAAATGCATATAAAGAAACTGTTTAAGCTCTTTCTAATTATTTTTCCTTCTGTCGAAAGTAGGTTTTAGTCTGCCTACTCTAGTCCAGTAACCTAGGTTTTTAATTGGTGCATTATTAAAAAGCATTTATTGAGTACCTTGTTGCCTTAGAACCATTTTCCCTCAGCCTATAGGTATAGAGTCACAATCTTCATAAGTAACCACTTACTATTTTGCTTTTTAAATAACCTACAAAAGGTTTGTGTATAATGATTTTTCAACATTTAGAATTGCAAAGTCATATTCCCAGTAATAATGACATCTTTGTTGTTATTTCTTTGCTTGCTTAAAAAAAAAAAACCTATTCTTTCAGTTAACCTCTGCGACATTCAGCCATCTTGTACCAGTGCAATTTTATCAGTTGCTTACAGCTGACATCCATCCTAATTTGTTGGTACCAACTGTGTTAACTAAGCATCTAACGCTCACATTGGTTGTTAAAAATTGTTCAATATAAAAATTGAGCACACACTTTTAAATGTGAAAAGGATTGTAAAGACGGATATATCGGACTTCTCTGAGAGAAAATGTTGGAGTGAGAAAAAAAACCTTGCCTTATATTTGGGCAAATGTAGTAGATGGTAGATACTTTAAACTGTGTGTGCTGTGCAAGATCGTACATGGAGAGAGAATGAAGAAAAGAAGAAGGCCTTAGACACAGCCCTGGGTCATCCTAGCATGTAGAGGTCTGGCAGAAAAGGAGGATCCAGAAAAGAAATTTGAAAAGAAACAGTCAGGGAGTCAGCAGGTAAACCAGAAGAGTGAAAAAGTATTTTCAAGATGAGCTGGGAGTGGTCAGGTGTGTTAAATGCTGTTAGGACAAGCAAAATGACTCTGGTGATAGCTGTTTTGTTGTAGTGATGGGGATAAGAGTCTGATTGGAGAGGGTGGAGGAGCGACTGGGATGTGAAGAAGTAGAGTTGAGGCAGTGCAAAAGACAAATCCTGTGCTCTGAGTAAAAGCGGAGAAGGGAAGGATTGAGAAGGATGTTGGATTGAATGGGCTCATTGAAGTTACCATGGGTAAAAGGTAGGTCCTAGAGAGGAATTTAGGAAACAAGTAACCTTTTATCACAGATTAAAGGGATTTGTGGTATCAGAGCTTCTGAAAGGGGTGCAATGCGTGGTCTGCTTGTGTACTTTGGAAGAATAAAAGGATTTAGGGATATGTGTTTCTGGCCACCTGAAAATATTTCTCTTTCAGTTTTCTTGTTGATGCTTGCACATCTCTAGAAGAGCATATTCATACAGAAGGGCTTTTTAGGAAATCTGGATCTGTTATTCGTCTAAAAGCACTAAAGGTAGGCATATTCTTGAACTGTAATTTCTCTTTTGTACCACTTTTTGGTTTTTACGATTGAATATTTAGCAGTGTTACATGAATTACTGACAGAACTTGAATTTTCAGGTAACTTTTTTCATGGCAGAAGAACTTTTCCCCCAAAAGAAAGTATATCATCTATATAATGCTTTTTATTCTTCAGTTTTATTGAGGTATAATTTACAAATACATTTAAGATATAACTTGATGTTTTGATTTATGTATACATTGTAAAATCACAATCAAGCTGTTTATATAATGCTTTGAAAGTTTAGAATAGTTTCAATTCATGGTCCTTGTTCCTAGAAATGAAAAAAAATTAAATTTTATTATTTTTAGCCTTCTAAAAAGGAGTGATATATTAAATCAAGAGGTAAGAGAAACTTATTAAAGAAAGCTCTTTAGAGTATAAGAAATGATATTTTATTTGCAGTATAATCCTAAGCCTCCAAGTACTCAAGATTATTTTATCTATTTCAGAATAAACTGGATCATGGTGAAAGTGGTCTGTCTTCTGCACCTCCTTGTGATATTGCAGGATTAATTAAACAGTTTTTTAGGGAATTGCCAGAGCCCCTTCTCCCAGTTGATTTGCATGAAGCACTTTTCAAAGCTCAACAGTTAGGAACAGAGGAGAAGAAAAAAGCAACATTGTTGCTCTCCTGTCTTATGCCTGACCACACTATTAATTTATTAAGATACTTCTTTAACTTCCTCAGGAATGTTTCTCTTAGGTAAGTAGTAATTAAAAGTTTTAGGAAATGAAAGTTAAATTTCTCACTTACCTAGATTTACTCTTATAGATAAAAAATTCATTTGGAGTGAAAAATTTTCTAAAAAATATGTTTTCTTACTATAAGAAATCTACCCTATATAATTGAAGAAACAATATACCAAGTAATTTACTATTTCTTTGCTCTCTGAGAGTGATTATTATGAATGTCTTTAATGGCTTATTGGGGCTTATAGGATTCTTTGTCCACTGAATGGTTTCAGAATACTGTGTTTTTAAAATATTCATGTTTTGCTTTTCAAATTTGCTTCTTCTCCCTACTGTTAGTGAGCCTGTTTGTTCTAGACATACTTTTTGCTTTCTAATACTTCAGATTTTCTGTGTGGGTTTGAAAGTCACACATGTTCAATTTGTGTGGAAAAACAAAGTGTAGGCCCTATGTTTCTGTGATTTTGATGTTGTGTATTTAAGCAGACAGAAGCTGTATATTTCTGTTTGTGTCTTACTTCAAGCTGATCATGTTAGATGAAGGGTAACTATTGTGACTTGTGTTTCACTGGTAAAGTAAGAGGTCTTCAAAATGTACTTAATATGTTATTTTAACTCTTTGTTTTTATCTTTGGCACCATCTCATTAAACCTTTTTAAATTTAAGATCCAGTGAGAATAAGATGGATAGCAGCAATCTTGCAGTGATATTTGCACCAAACCTTCTTCAGACAAGTGAAGGACATGAAAAGATGTCTGCCAACACAGAAAAAAAGCTACGATTACAGGCTGCAGTAGTACAGACTTTTATTGATTATGCATCAGATATTGGTAAGATGTAGTTGCATTATTAAATAATGGGATGTGTTTAAATGAGGGAGCTTTCAGCTTCTTCCAAGTGAATTTGAAGACAGCTGTTAGAAAGTTGGTTTATACTATTTAAACATCGCAGGAGGGAATAGAGGAAAGATCTTAATTGTGAACGTTTTCCTTTAGGGCATGTTCCAGATTTTATTCTGGAAAAGATACCAGCTATGTTGGGTATTGATGGTCTCTGTGCTACTCCATCACTGGAAGGCTTTGAAGAAGGTGAATATGAAACTCCTGGTGACTATAAGAGAAAGCGAAGACAAAGTGTAGGAGGTAAGTAGCAGTGACAGTCTGTTTTATGGAGGTACAGCAATTTGCTTTATCTTAAATGCATTTGAACATAGAGAAGCAGAAGCTATGGTGTATGCCTTTTTGGTGCTTACAGCATAGTTGCAAAGGCAAAACATATGCATGGAAAAAGTGAAAAGTAGAAATGACAATACAGTCTAATATTATGTGCTAGATTTTTAGCAAAAACAAAATGTGTTCAAATGAGAAAAGTTCTCGGGCTTATAATGATCAGGACTCATCAAATAGGTCAGACTAAACCTTCTTGAAGAATAGGTAGAATCTAAGGGGCATTGGGTGGAGGGTCAGACTCTTTGTATCCTATTCTAGATGAGAAGGATGCTATGAAAAAAGATTTCTATAAGGAAGAAGTAATCAATGTCTGTGTAAAAAGACCAGTGTAAGTTGATGGAAGTGTTCATCCTAAGGATTAGGGTGATATTATGGTGACCTCAATGTCAGCCTAAAGAATTAGAATATTAAGCTGTGTATTGGAGAACCATTGAAGGTTTATGAGAAGAGGTATAACATGATTAAACTATTTTAGGAAGTTATTTGATTTGAAGAATTGAGACTTGGAGGTAGGGAGAATAGTCAGAAATGTGGCAATAATCCAGGTGTGAGATCATGATTTGAAAGTGATATGAATTAATTAGGGATATGAATTAAATAACGAAGGAACAGCCCGGCCAGTGTGGCTCAGTGGTTGAGTGTCAACCCATGCATCAAGAGGTCACCAGTTCGATTTCCGGTCAGGGCACATGCCCAAGTTGTGGACCCGATCCCCAGTGGGGGGGCATGCAGGAGGTGGCCAATCGATGTTCTCATTGATGTTTCTGTCTCTCCCTTTCCCTTCCTCTCTCTCTAAAACCAATAAAGAAAAAAAAATAATAATGAAGGAACATTACCAAAAAATGAAAAAAGACCTCGAGTTCCTTAATCTATTGGTTTATATGGTGTTGCCTTCTATTGTTTCTTTGCTTCCTGTATAGATTTCTCTTATGCCTTCTGTGTCAGTTTCCTAGGACTACTGTAACAAAGTACCAAAAATTTGAGTGCAACTGCAAAGACCTTAATTGCAAATAAGGTTAGGACTTAAACATATCTTGGAGGACACAATTCAACCCATTAGACTTCTTTCTACCCCAAATGTAGCTATTCCCAGATACAGGCTATCTTTATTACCCTACTTCCATTTAGTCCTGTAGTTTCAGTTATCTCATTTAAATAGATGAACGCTGGATCTCTATCATTCACTGTTATCTGGCAAATGTTAGTTCCACTTTATTTTTTTTAACTATTCATACAAATTATTTATTTAATAACAATTTTCCTATTTAACCATGTCAGTTCCACTTTAGTAAGGGCTACAGACACCTTCACTTCTGCTTTCCCTTGGTGCTTTAAGCTCAGCATTTTGTAGTGATCATCTTTACCTTTTTTTCTTTGCATTTATCTTCAGATAGAGCAGGAGGGAAAGAGGGAGGGAAGGAGGGAGAGAAACATTGACGTGAGAAAGACACATAGAGTGGTTGCCACCCACACGACCCCAACTGGAGCGGGGACAAACTGCAACTGAGGTATGTGGTCTTGTGGAAACCGAACCTGGGACTCTCTTGTCCACGGGCCGACGCTCTAAATTGCTGAGCCAAACTGGCCAGGGCCATCTTTACCTTCTTTAAACTGATTGTGCTTGAATTCTTTTTTCTATCAACAGCATTACCATTGTCTAATCACTCGGGCTCTAAGCCTTTTGTACCTAACTCTTAATTTACTGTCTATATTCCCACAGCTTTCAGGTTCTAGAAAATTCTATCTTCAGTGTTCACTGCATCTTAACTGAGAATCTCCTTGTTTTTTGTGCCTCCTTATTTGAATCTGTCCTGCTATTGCTGTCAAAGCTGACTCTTTTTTTTTTTTGTCTGTTAATCTTCACCTGAGGATATTTTTTCCACTGATTTTTAGAAAGTGGAAGGGAGGGAGAGAGAGAGAGAGAGAAAGAGAAACATTGATGTGAGAGACATCAGTTGGTTGCCTCCGCATGTGCCCTGACTGGGGCTTCGGATTGTACATACAACCCAGGTATGTGCTCTTGACCAGAAATTGAATCTGAGACCCTTTGGTGCGCAGGCTGACACTGAACGACACTGGCCAGGGCTCAAAGCTGACATTCTTGATCTATAACTCTTACCATGTATCTTACGTACATACCCTTCATAAACTTGCATCGATAAATATTGATATTTATAGCCTGACATTAAAGGTCTTTCACAGGATTGCTTTAGCATGCTTTTGTACTGTTTCCTGTTTCTCCTTTCAATCTATACTATAGACAAACTATTCTATATTGTTTTCTAGACATTGTTCTTTTGCATATGCTATTTATTGATATAACATTTTACTTCCATTCACTCCTGCTATTCAAATTATATCCAGCTGTCAAAATTTAGCCTGAAGTTTTGTCAATCAAGTCCCCCCCTCTCTTTGTTTAATGGGGAAATTGCTCTTCTGCTCCTACATTCTATAATATTCTAGACTTTTAATAGGCTTCATCTGGTTTTATATTTATTCCTTCTGCATGACTCTCTTACCTGATTATATTTAATGCTCTTTTAAGGTAGACACCATGTTTTATACATCATTGTATCCAACCTAGTGTTTTTTGTTTGTTTTGTTTTTTACTGAGTAGGCATAAACTACTGAATGAATACAGTAAGTTGAGTTAACTGATATTTAACTTAAACCTAGGGGTACTTAAAACAGGTTATGGTAGCATTTTTTCATGTATCATGTAATACTTCAGTTTAATTAGCAATTTGGAACTGTTCAGGAGCTCTAGACAATCAGTGTTTATTTTTTGTTATAGCTAGCCTTTCCCCCCCTTTCTTTTAATATGAGACTTTAAAATGCCACAAACAATGTAATCTGATTGCAGTTGCTTTGAAGAATCTTTTGGCTGCGTTTTAAATTGTGGAAAAAATACAACACTATTGATCATCTTAACTATTTTTAAGTGTACACTTCAGTAGTGTTCAGTACATTCACATTGTGCAACCAATCTCTAGAACTTTTATTTTGCAATTGTATGAGTTAGTTAACCTAGCTTAATTTTATGCTAGGTATGGCAATTCTCAATAATTGTATTGCTCCAGAATCTGCATAGAATTCCATGAGCAAACTTGAAAGAGGAATTTGGTCTATCATAATTTTCCCATTCTTGTCCATGTATGTGAGTGTGTGCGCTCCTCTGCATTGTCTTTGTGCTAACGAATGACAGTGATGCAGTGCTGAGCTGATTTAATTAATGTGATGCCCTTCTTAGTGTGGTACTTCCTGAAATAGTATAGTAAACTCATGAGACTATTAAGGGGATTGGGACAAAACTTTTCTGTTTCTCTAGAGATGGTGTGTACTTTCAGTGTGGCCCATTATGCGGTCAGGACAATTTCAGATTATGGAGGGAACAGTTTATCTTTCCATACTCCTGATTTTGCTCTGCTGGTGTAATTGTGTGTTATCTGCTGTGGCTGAATCTGTTGCTCAGGTTTCTTCTGCTCTGCCTCATGTTTCTCATTTTTTTCCTTTTTCCTCTTTCATATTAACCTTATTTATCTACCCAAGCTTCATGAAGTTTGGCTTGGTTAGCCATTGCCTATTTTTGGCTCTTTGCTGAGGTTTTCACTATTCTGTGGTTTCTGCATATTTCACTTGAGGGTGTAAGATTTCTCAATACATAAGTGGGCTATAGCTGAGCTTGAATTTAAATAACTATTTTGAGTAATATTTGGTGAATAACATATTTAAGAGACTTTTTGTTTCATTGTATTTGAAAATTGAGGGTATATTTTTGTATGAAAGTCTTCCTTTTGAAGTCACAATTTCCATGTAGCTAAATCCAGTGTATATATATTTTTGGCCCGTATTATTGAGAATCTCTGACCACTTGACTATGTACTTTCCTTCCTGATACTTTTCTTTCCTTTTTTGTTTGTTTGTTTTTGTTTTGTAATACTATGCTTTTATGGTTTTCCTGCCTCTTTAAACCATTTGTTCTGTCTCCCTTTTTTTGGATTTTTTTTCTGACTGCCTATTAAATGGTCCATTCTTCATAGTTCTTACTCTTTGTTTTTTAAAATGATCTCATTCACTGTCATTTTTAAAAACTACCATTTCTGGGCTGATGATTCCCAAATCTCTTCTCCAGCCCAGATCTTCCCACAAATGGATTTATACCCATCTTAGCATCTCATAGACATGTCTAGCTCTTCCTTTCATAATTCCCCCTCCCCCCTCCTCTTTTTTTGGTGGTACCATTTTCTACTCTCATCAAAATCTGATTTTTATATATTCTTATTTACTCTTTCCTCATCCCTACATCTCACTGCTCACCAAATCTTGTAACTTTGATCTCTTGAGTACCTTTAATCCTGCCTCCATTGTTCCTGTCTCTGTTCAGACCATCATCTCTTGTCTGGCTAATTTCCACCCTTCCTTCAGTTCTCAAATATCACTTCCTCAGGGACACCTTTGACTCCTCAGTATAAATCTGTCATTATATTTGTACTTGAAACTACTTAACCCATTTGACATTGTGTATTTAGTATTTCCTCAGTGTATTTATTGTTTGTTTCCTCTCCAAGAACAAGTTCTGTAAAGGCAGACTATGTCTGTTTTGGTCACTGTTGTATCTCTAATGCTAACACGGTGCTTGACACATTGTAGGAACAAGTTAAATACTTGTTGAATGACTTAGTAATCTACTTAGAAGAACCTTCATCTAGTTTGCCTGCCTCCAAGGAGGTTTGCTGCCTCAGGTCTGTCTTTCACATTGCTGCCAGAGTAATTTTTCTAAAATGCAGATCAGACAGTTTTGCTCTTTTGCCTTTGGAGAAGTTCAAGTTTTTCAAAATGACACACACACCCTATTTTTCCGCATATAGAAAGCATGTCTCTTACCATATCCACTGCTCACTGTTTGCTTTAGCAATATCAAACCTAGTGGTTTCTAATATAGATGCATCCTATGTTTACTTACATGCCTTTGCATATGTTATTCACCTTGTCTCAAATCAACACCTACTAATCCTTCAGAACGCAGGCCAGGTTTTACTTACTCTGCAAAGCCTTTTCTGTTGTTGCCACTTCCTCCTCCCTTCCTCAACAAGTAATGCTTTCCTTTCCCATTTCTTTCTGTACGTCAGAAATATTTGTTTTATATTTCATTCAGTATTGTATATCTTTTTTTGAGAGAGATGAGAGTGTAAGTGGAATGGAATAAAAATATATCATTTAATTTCCTTCCTATTTTGAAATAAATTCCTTTAAGAAACCTTAAATGGCCTTAAAATCATGTTGATAAAAACTTTGATGCTAGAAGACCACAAATATCAATATGAATTATTGGTGAAAGATAGGTAAATAAATGTTTAGTTATAATTGATTATATAATTATGTATTCCTTGCATTTCAGATTTTGTCAGTGGAGCACTAAATAAACTTAAATATAACAAAACACCCTCTGTTACACCTCAACAAGAAAGAATTGGTAGGTATATGTATTTATTTAAATGAAAGTTGCTGTGTTATTTTGATTTAATCAAATCAATATTTTCAATGGAGATACTGTACTATAATACTATGCTGTGACTTGCTAATTACATCGGATAGAATGAATCCAAAATTATAAGACTTTCTTTTAGTCTCTTATATCTTTAATCTTCTAAATCATGCTTTTCTGTTGCTTGTAAATTTGATTATATAGAACATGTGAAAATAGCTCAATCATATTTTTATTTTAGAACCAGAAGTTTATTAGTGTGTTACAATTTTTTAAATTTTATTTTATTATTATTTTTTCAATTTTTATTTATTTTTGTTACAGATGTTTCTCCTCTTCCCTCCTAGACACCCTCTACCTAATCCACCCCCCCCCACCCCCCGCAAGCATTGCTGTCTATGTCCGTTGGTTAAGCATACAGACATATAAGTTCTTTGGTTTATTTCATTCCTCTCCCCTGCACCCCTCCTCTGAGGTTTGTCCGTCTGAACCATACTCCTTTCTATGTTAATGGGTCTGTTTTGTTCATCAGCTTATTTTGTTTATTATATTCCACAAATAAGTAAGATCATGTGGTATTTGTCTTTCTCTGATTGGCTTATTTCCCTTAGTATAATAGTCTCCAAGTCCCACCAAGTCATCTCAAAGGAAAAGAGATCTTTCTTTCTTACAGCTGCATAGTATTTCATTGTGTCTATGTACCACAGCTTTTTTATCCACTCATCTATTTATGGACACTTGGGCTGTTTCCAGATCTTAGCAATTGTAAATAGTGCTGCTATGAACATAGGGATACATATATTCTTTCTGATTGGTGTTTCAGGCCTCTTAGGATATATTCCTAGAAGTGGGATCATTGGGTCAAATGGCAGTTCAATTTTTAATTTTTTGAGGAAACACCATATTGTTTTTCATGGTGGCTGCATCAGTCTGCATTCCTAGCAGCAGTGCACTAGAGTCCCCTTTTCTCCACACCCTCCCCAGCACTTGTTTGATGATTTGTTGTTGGCAGCCATTCTGGCAGGTGTGAGGTGATACTTCATAGTCGTTTTAATTTGCATCTCTCTGATGCTTAGTGATGTTGAGCATTTCTTCATATGTCTCTTGGCCATTTGTATGTCCTGTTTGGAGAGGTGTCTATTTAGTTCCTCTGCCCATTTTCTTATTGGATTCTTTATCTTTCTTTTTTTATTGTTTTTTTAAAACTTATCTTTATTGTTGAACGTATTATAGATATTCCTTCTTTTTCCCCTTTTGACCCTCTCCTCCTGGCTTCCACCCCCCCCCCCTTCTACCTTTCCTCACACTGTCTGTGTCCATTGGTTATGCATATATGCATATAAATTCTTTGGTTTATTTCTTCCCACCCCCCTACCTCGCACATCCCTTCCCTTGAAGGTTTGTCAATCTAACAGCCAATTTGTATTTCTTAATTCCTGCACCCTTTTCACCCGTTCCCTCAACCCCCCTCCCATCTGGCAACCAACAAAATGTTCTCTGTATCTATGAGAATGTTTCTGTTCTGCTTGTTCATTATATTTGTAGATTCAGTTGTTGATAGATATGTATTTATTGCCATTTTGTTTTTTTCATATTTTTTATCTTCTTTTTCTTCAAGAAGACCCTTCAACATTTCATATAATGGTTAGGTGGTGATGAACTCCTTTAGCTTTTTCTTGACTGGGAAACTCTTTGTATGTCTATCCATTCTAAATGATAGTTTTGCAGGATAAAGTAATCTTGTTTGTAGGTTCTTGCTATTCATCACTCTGCATATTTCTTGCCACTCCTGGTCTGCAAAGTTTCTTTTGAGAAATCAGCTGACAGTCTTAATGGAGCTCTCTTGTAGGTTACTAACTACTTTTCTCATGCTGCTTTTAAGATTCTCTCTTTGTCTTGAACCTTTTGCATTTTGATTATGATGTGTCTTGGTGTGGGCCTCTTTTTGTTGACTTTCTAGTTTTTAAGTTGTAGGGTTAGAAAGTCAATTAGAAAATTTTCTTTCTTGAGGTAGGCCTGTAGTGCTATGAACTTCCCCCTTAGGACTGCTTTTGTTGCATCCCACAGATTTTATGTTGTTGTGTGTTCATTTTCATTGGTTCCCAGGAAGTTTTTAATTTCTTCCTTGATATCCTTGGTAACACGTTCATTGTTTAATTACATGCTATTTAGCCTCCATGTGTTTGAATGTTTTTGCTGTAATTTCTATTTTCATGCCATCTGAGAAGATGCTTGATATGATTTCAGTCTTCTTGGATTTGTAGAGACTTAGTTTGTGTCCTAACGTGTGGTCTGTCTTGAAGAATGTCCCATGTGCCCTTGAGAAGAATGTGAATTCTGCAGTTTTGGGGTATAATTCTCTGTAGATATCTATTAAATCCATTTGATCTAATGCATCAGTTAGAGTCTCTGTTTCCTTGATAAGTTTTTGTCTAGAGCAATGGTTCTCAACCTTCCTAATGCCGCAACCCTTTAATACTCTTCCTCATGTTGTGGTGACTTCCAACCATAAAATTATTTTCATCTCTACTTTATAACTGTAATCTCTACTTTATAACTGTTATGAATTGCCATCGGAAATATGTGTTTCCGATGGTCTTAGGTGACCCCTGTGAAAGGGTCGTTCAACCTCCAAAGGGGTTGTAACCCACAGGTTGAGAACCGCTGGTCTAGAGGATCTATCCAGTGATGTTGATGAGGTGTTGAAGTTCTCTGCTATGATTGTATTGCTGTTGATTTCTCCTTTGAAATCCTCCAGAAGTTTTTTAATGTATTTTGGTGCTCCTATATTGGGTGCGTATATGTTAACCAAGGTTATTTCCTTCTTTTGGATAGATCCTTTCAATATTATGTAGTGGCCTTCTTTGTCTCTTAGTTATGGCCTTCATTTTGAAGTCTGTTTTAACGGATATGAGTATTATTGCTACCCCAACTTTTTTTCCTTTCTGTTTGCTTGGAAAATTTTTATCCATCCCTTTTCTTTCAACCTATGTGTCTTTTGTTGTGAGGTGGGTCTCTTGTAAAGAACATGTATATGAGTCATGCTTTCTTATCCATTCAGCTACTCTGTGTATTGACTGGATCATTTAATCCATTTACATTTAAGGTTATTATTGATATGTACTTATTTATTGGCATTTTTGTTCATTATGGTTGTTTCTCTTCCTGTTTCTTCTGCTTATTGCATCAGTTCTTTTAACATTTCTTGGAGTGCTGGTTTAGTGCTAATATATTTCCATAGCCTTTTTTTGTCTGGGAAGCCCTTTATTTCACCGTCTATTTTGAATGATAACCTTGTTGGATAGAGTAGTATGGATTCAGATCCTTGTTTTTCATTACCTTGATTACTTCACACCATTCCCTTCTGGCCTGTGGTGTTTCTGTTGAGAAGTCAGCTGTTTGCCTTATGGGGGTTCCTTGGTGGGTAACCTGTTACTTATCTCTTCCTGCCTTTAGGATTCTCTCTTTGTTTTTAATTTGTGGCATTTTAATTCTTATGTGTCTTGGTGTGGGTGTCTTTGGGTTCTTCTTACTTGGGGCCCTCTGTCCTTGAACTTATATGCCTTTTCCTTCACAAAGTTAGGGAAGTTTTCTGTCAATATGTCGTCATATATATTCTCTAGCCCTTCCTCATTTTCTTCTTTGGGCACTCCTATGATGCGAATGTTTTTGCGTCTCATTGATTTTTTTCTTTTTGGTTTTCTGATTGGGTGATTTTTTCAACCCTGTCTTCTAATTCACCGATCCGGTCCTCGGCTGCCTCTACTCTGCTGCTTATTTCTTTCAATGTGTTCTTTATTTCTGCTATGTCATTCTTCATTTCCAGTTGGTTCGTTTTTAATGTTTCTGTATCTTTACTCATGCTGTTGAGCTTCCTTATTATCATTACTCTGAAAGCTTGCTTAACTGCATTTCATTTATCTCCAGTAGAGTTCTAGTGTTCTTTCATTTGGGATTTGTTTCTTTGTTTCACCATTTGGGTTGTCTCAGTGGGTTTGGGAGCCTGCCAAATTTTCCCTGTGGGTGTTGGTGTTCTGCTGTTTGTGGCTCCCTATACTGGGTTTGGATGAATGTGGGAGGACCCACGTGAAACACCACTGTTAAGTCTTAGTTTCCTGGGTAGCTTTGCAGGCCAATCAAAGGTTCATTTTCCTCTAGCTTTTGCCTGCAGGCCATTAGTCTCAGTTAGTTGATGAGCCTTGGGGGGTAGCCCTCAGATGAATGAAAATATCGCTAGGTGTTTAGAGTAAAAGCATTGCCAGCCAGTGGGACAGATGCTTGCTGGCTGTCTCTAGCTGTTAATTAGCCTCAATTTGCATTGCTCTGGCCTGGCCCTGTGGTGATAAAGTCCTGAGGGAGGGGCTTTTGCTTCTCCCTGGGGGTCTGGGAAGGGGCTCTTTGAGTAAGACCAGCTTCTGTCCTGTGATGGAGTGATTGAGCACAAAACTCCCAGTGCCCTCCCAGTGCCCCAAACTCTTGTGTTTCTCCACACTGTTCTAGTCCAGTCTAGCCTCCCTCGGCCAGAGCCCAAGATGAGTGGCTGTAGCTTATTTGGTCCTCTGACATGGCCCTCTGCTCTGTGCAGCCTACTTGGGATTTTAACCCCAAGGTAACTGCTCACAGCGAAAATAGCTGCTATCTGTGGGCTCCCAGCCTGACCTCTCATGCCTCCACAGTTCCTACTAGGCTTGATTTGGTGTCCTCTTCCTGTCCCTGGTTATATGGGTTCTCTCCAGCTGATTTTCTCTTGGCTTTTCCCAATTATTTGTCTTTAATTTAGTTGTAATTTCAGTTTGGTCCTGGGAGATGGTCTGTGTAACTTCCATTCACTCCACCGCCATTTGTGTGTTACAAAATTTTATCTTGGTTTGCTTATGGCTGAAATTATTTAGCCCAGTAACAGGCAATATAATCATTTATTTTATTTTCCAGATTGAATAAATTAACTGGGTAATACTCAGTTATAATGAAAAACAAATATTTAGATCAGTTTTTGTTTTAACTCCTTGATTATAATTTTCTTTCTTATGTTAATATTCTTTACTGTGAGTTATACTCATCTTTTAGTCCATTTGGTTTAAATTACTAGTTTTAAGAATCTTGCCTCTTTGCAACTTGCCTATTTTTATTTTATGGAATTGCATGGTATTAATTTAGTTATATAACGTATTTGATAATGTAAACATATCACTCCATTTTTTGTTTAGTCCTAAGTAATAGCCTTATAAGAATAAATTTATAAAGCTTTTTATTTTATCGACATTGTGGAGAAACAATAAATTGTTTTTCTATTTTTTTCAGCCCAGCTGTCTATATCACCAGTGATTCTTACACCAAATGCTAAGCGCAAACTGCCAGTAGATTCTTCTCATGGTTGCTCAAGTAAGAAAAGGAAATCCATCAAGCACAATTTTAACTTTGAGTTGTTGCCAAGTAATCTCTTCAGTACCAGTTCTACACCAGTATCAGGTAGCAAATATAATTTATGTAATTGAGTTGTAAACATTAATGTAAGTTCCTGTTCTAGGCAAAGTGCTATTTCATATTAATACACCCTTGAGGAGCCAGGGCTTTATTTATATTTTTTTAAAAGATCTTTTATTTTTAGAGAGAGAGGAAGGGAGAGAGAGAAACATCAATATGAGAGTAACACATTGATCGGCTGCCTCCCACAAACCCCTCCTTGGGATCTAGCTTGCAACCCAAGCATGTGCCCTTACTGGGAATTGAACTGGCAACCGTTTAGTGAACAGGATGATGCTCAACCAACTGAGCCACATTGGCCAAGGCCAGAACTTTATTTTTTATGAAATCTGATGTTTTATAAACTCCCTTAAATTTTAAAATACATTGGTCAGTATAATTGACATGTATGTGTTTTATGGCCATGCCCATTGAAACTTAATAGAAATAACTCAGAGGGTGGGTCTGAGCTTCTATGCATAGCATTGCTGCTCAGGTTTTATGTGACTGGACATCCTTATTCTACTTTAGCTACTTCTAGATCTATAGCTATAGCTTTATTGCTGTCTTCTGTTGAGTTCAGGTTGTCTGAAGTTAGATCATCTCTGAATCCAGAGTGGGGGTATTGCCATTAGAGTAACTATCGAGGGTTGCGTTTGGGGGAGGGGGTAAACGTTTTTAATGTTTTATGCTCAATTAGCTTTTATAAAAGCTTTAAAAAGTTTTTTAATACTGTTTTTTGTAGCATGTCTTCCAGATCCTTTATATTTTTCTTGTTTGTTTTATTAGAAATTGAACAGAATAGCAATTTGTTCTCTGTGATCCTTCACAGATTCTCTATGGTTTATTAATGTGTAATAATAAGACCTCTGACGCATTGCTTGTAGCTTTTTTAGATTGGGAAGTTGAAGACGGCTAACTTCTTCAAAGTAACTTTGTTGTTTTAAAATTTAAAGGCTTTTCCACTTTGAAGGACTTTTTCCAAATGGCACTTGTGAACTGTGGTTCTACCAGCCTTTGCTTCTTAACATTACAACACCTTCCTCATGAATGAACCTGTTGATTCTTTCTCTCTAACCTTCCCCAAAATAGGTTAAACATTCCTGTGTTATGGTAAGATTAGTATGAGCCTGCTTGATCAGGGAATTTATTATTATTATTATTATTATTTTTTTCTTAATTTATTTTTGATACAGATGTTTCTCCTTTTTTCCCCATTGACAACCTCCTCCCTATCCCCCCGACCCCATCCCCAGCTTTGTTGTTCATGTGTATCAGTTATATGTACATGCATATCAGTGCTGTAGTTTATCTCTTCCCTCCTCCCTCTCCCCCCCTTCTGAGGATTGTCAGTCTGTACCCTACTTCCACATCTCTGGGTCTACTCTGTTCCTCAGACTGTTATGTTCATTATATTCCACAAATAAGTGAGATCATGTGATATTTGTCTTTCTCTGATTGGCTTGTTTTGCTGAGGATAATACTCTCCAGGTCCCTCCATGTCGTCTCAAAGGATAAGAGATCTTTCATATAGCTGCATAGCACTCCATTGTGTATATGTACCACAGCTTTCTTATCCACTCACCTACTGACGGGCACTTGGGTTGTTTCCAGATCTCAGCTCTTTTAAATAGTGCTGCTATGAACATGGGGGAATATATATTCTTTGTGATTGGTGTTTCAGGCTTCTTAGAGTATATTCCCAGAAGTGAGATTCACTGGGTCAAATGTGAATTCAATTTTTAATTTTTTGAGATAACACCATAGTGTTGGGTTCTTTGTCATCCTTTTGTTGAGTTGTATGAACACTCTATATATTTTGGAAATTAACCCCTTATCTGATGTCTCATTGGCAATTATGCTCTCCCATACAGTGGATTCCCTTTCCATTGTGATGGTTGTTTCTTTTGTTGTGCAGAAGCTTTTTAGTTTGATGTAGTCCCATGTGTTCATTTTCTCCTTTGTTTCTGTTGCCTTAGGTGATGTATCAGTGGAAATTCTGCGTATGTTGTTCAAAATGTTGTTGCCTACATTTTTTTCTAGGATTTTATGGATTCATGAGTCACATTTAGGTCTTTTATCCATTTTGAGTTTATTGATGTGTATGGTGTAAGTTGATGGTCTAGTTTCATTTTTTGCATGTAGCTGTCCAGTTTTCCCAAAACCATTTATTAAAGAGGCTGTATTTACTCCATTGTATGCTCTTGCCAACTTTGTCAAATATTAAGGGACCATAATGTCTTGGGTCAATATCTGGGTTCTTTGTTCTGTTCCACTAGTCTATATGCCTCTTGTGCTAGTACCAGGCTGTTTTGATCACATTAGCTTTGTAGTATAACCTGATATCCAGTACTGTGATCCCACCTACTTTGTTCTTCTTTTTCAAGATTGCTGTGGCCATTTGGGGTCTTTTTTGGTTCCATGTGAACTTATTTTTTATTTTATTTTTTTCCCTTTTTTATTTTTTTAAAATCTTTATTATTGGATGTAAAATGTATTACAGATGTTCCACATTTTTTCCCCCATTGACCCCCTCCTCCCCACTCCCGCCCCCCTCCCACCTTTTTCCACACTATTGTCTGTGTCCATTGGTTATACATATAAGTTCTTTGGTTTATTTCTTCCCACCCCCCCATCCCCTTTCCCTTTAAGGTTTGTCAGTCTAGCAATGAATTTGTACTTCTTAATTCTTTCACCTTTTTCACGCATTCCCCCAACCCCCCTCTCATCTGGCAACCAACAAAATGTTCTCTGTATCTATGAGAATGTTTCTGTTCTACCTGTTCATTTTGTTTGTAGATTCCATTGTCGATAGATATGTATTCATTGCCATTTTGTTTGTTCATATATTTTATCTTTTTCTTCAAAAAGACCCTTCATCATTTCATATAATAATGGTTTGGTGGTGATGAACTCCATTAACTTTTTCTTCTCTGGGAAAGTTTTTATATGGCCATCGATTCTAAATGACAGCTTTGCAGGACAGAGTAATCTTGGTTGTAGGTTCTTGCTTTTCATCACTCTGAATATTTCTTGCCACTCCCTTCTGGCCTGCAAAGTTTCTTTTGAGAAATCAGCTGACAGCCTAATGGGAACTCCCTTGTAGGTAACTAGCTGCCTTTCTCTTGCTGCTTTTAAGATTCTCTCTTTGTCTTGAACCTTTTGCATTTTGATGATGATGTGTCTTGGTGTGGGCCTCTTGGGGTTCATCTTGTTTGGGACTCTCTGTGCTTCCTGGACTTGTAAGTCTGCTTCCTTCACCAAGTTAGGAAAGTTTTCTGCCATTATTGTTTCAAACAGGTTTTCGATTTCTTGTTCTCGCTCTTCTCCTTCTGGCACCCCCAAGATGCGAATGTTGGCATGCTTGAAGTTGTCCCAGAGGCTCCTTACACTATCCTCATTTTTTTGGATTCTTTTTTCTTTTTGCTGTTCTGATTGGGCGTTTTTTGCTTCCTTATATTCCAAATCGATGGTTTGGTCCTTCGATTTACGTACTCTATTATTGAAGCTGTGTAAATTATTCTTTATTTCAGTTAATGCCTCCTTCAATTCTAACTGTGTATCCATGAATTCTGACTGGTCCTTTTTTATGCTCTTGAGGCCCTCCCTAAGTTCACTGAGGTTCTCACTAAGTTCATTGAGCATCCTTATAAGCATATTTTGAACTCAGTATCTGTTAGGTTGCTTATCTCCATTTCGCTTAGTTCTTTTATTGGGGTTTTGTTCTGTTCTTTCATTTGGGACCTTTTTCTTTGTCTCCTCATTTTGGCTGCCTCCCTGTGTTTGTTTCAGTATATTACTTAACGAGAGGTATGGGGCTGGCTGAGACCAGATGCTGCTCGTTCGAAAGAATTTAGGAAAAACCTGAAGCAGGATCCAAGACCGGCCAATCGAATGGTTAAGCAACTGGCAACAGCTTGGGTGGGCTTGAAAGTTGGGTGGGGCGGGGCGGGGCCTCAGGGAGTCTCCAGGGCGGGGCTACCAGTGTGAGCCAGGTTGCTGGAGTCCCAGATATGGAGACTGTCTGCCGCCTCAGGGAAGGGCTCACCAAAGGAACAAAGGCCTCTTACAGCACGTTTGTCCCTGAGAAAGCCCCCTCTCCAGCCCTCGCTCCAGGGCCAAACAGCTCAGTTCTTCCCTGTATGTCTCTGCTGCCCCTCGAGCTGCCTCCCCTCCAAGCTTAGAGGGAGTGAGTCCGATAAGTCCGTGCTCGGGCCCTTTAAGGAGCTGCCTGGGGCTCCAGCCGCTTCAGCCTCCCTGAGCCTCAGTTTCCGCTGGTTTTTCCAGCCAGAAGTTATGGGGACTTCTCTTCCTGGCACTGGAACCCTGAGCGGGGCACCTGGTGTGGGATGGGGACCCCTCAGTCCTCAGGAAGGAACTTCCCAGCCGAGGGAGCCTCCTGATTTTTATCCGCCACACTTGGGTGTGGGACCAGTCCCTCCGCCTCTGCCCCTGGCGCTTCTGCCCCCACCAGTCTGGATGTGGCTGCTGCTTTAATTCCGTAGTTGTAGGACTTCCATTCAGTTTGATTTCAGGCGGTTTTGAATGATAGTTGTTCTGTAGTTTAGTTGTAACTTTGATGTGGTTGTGGGAGGACGGGATTCCGCGTTTACCTACTCCGCCATCTTAACCGGAAGTCTTCCCATGTGAACTTTTGAAGTATTTGTTCTAGTTCTGTGAAATGTGTCATTGGTATTTTGATGGGGATTGCATTGAATCTACAGATTGCTTTGGGTAACATGGACATTTTAATGATGTTAATTCTTCCAATCCATGGATAAGGTATGTGTTTCCACTTTTTTGTATCTTCCTCTATTTCTTTTTTCAATGTCCTGTAGTTTTCTGCAAATAGGTCCTTTACTTCTTTGCTTAAGTTTATTCCTAGTATCTTAATTTTATTGCTGTGATGGTAAATGGGATTGTTTTCTTAGTTTCTCTTTCTGTGAATTTATCATTGGTGTATAAGTGTGTTGTCGATTTCTTGAGGTTAATTTTGTATCCTGCTA